ATTCATATTCTGTTGTTTTGGTCACTTACAACTTCAGAAGGCTCCTCTTGGCTATCTTGCTGACTGTTCCTAGATAACAAGCTCTACCCTGAATCTTCTTCCATCCCCGGCGAATCTTGGCTCTGCAAAAAACAAAATCCATAAGGATAAAATACAATGTTAGTTCAAGTAACAGGTTCAATTGCTTGAATAGTTTGCTGCAAAAGTTAAGACCTCCTCGTCGGTGTCTTCATCGCCAATGTCTATGACAGCTGCATTTGGAGGACCAACTTCAACGTGATGATAGCCGTTTGGACTGCTGGAACCAAACTGTACTCCGGATTCTGAGTTGCGGCGAAGAACAAAGATGACCAAGCAGAAAACAAATGCAATAGGTGAGAGGTTCCGGTTGGTTTTGAAAAGTTGTGTGACAAACAGAGACAGGAAAAAACCGGAGAAGCCAGTTTCGAATCCGAGCTCAAATTTCCTTGACATGGACAGCGACATCAAGGCAAACGAACCATACGAGATGATGCTCAGTGCATCTGATTTTCCAGGCACAAGTTTGTCGTGCAGGGCGGAGATGGAACAGATCACAATAAAAATTAGAGTTCCCACAAGATATTGGAATTTCTCTGAAACTCGAATTCTCTTGCCACACAACATAAGGCACCACATGATTAAACCGACTGACAGATAAACGAGAAGACCGCCAATGCCAAACTTTCCAAATGAGATTTTGTAGGTGGAGCTGAGACCAAAGCAAACCAGGCCATTTATCGCTGACACACTTCCCACGTATTTCCAAATCCTGGACTGATTTATAAGATCGCTCATTCTCTGTGCTTTTCCAGGTAAGACAAAAACAGCCTAAAGTTATTGAAAGAAAACAAAAGAAAATTAGTCCGCCATTCCGCTTGCATCTTAATTTTAAATCAGGTTTCCCATAATTTATTTTTTTTAAAAAATAAACAGACCCTTATTGTTTGATTTCTTAATTTTAATTTATAAATATGATGAAATTTTATTTATAGAAATAAACCAATAGTAGAACGGTATTAAATAAGATGATAGAAATTTCAAAAAGTGAATGAAATTCTATAAATTAAAATTAATAATATTAAAATAGTTTTTTACTCAAGGATTGATGCCTATAATAAATCAAGTGATTCAATTGATTAAAAAAAAATAGACGAAAAAGATGTTGTTCAAAATTAAAGCAAATTAAACACCTGTGAATTATTATTTTTTTTGGAAAAAAAAAGAAAAGAAAGGGGAAGCTCAGATAAGGCATCACAAAAGCTTAACAGAGAATTAAAAATGGGAAAGCGACCAAAAGTGTTCAATTGCTATGGAATTCCAAAAGCAGAGTACAGCAGAGATTGTACTAAGATTTTTGTAACAGGCCAAACAAAAATAAATCATCAAAAAGACCTACTAACCTTGATCAAACACCCCCCTCGAGAATCGCGGCGACCACAAGGGGATCATAACTCGGACGGAGAGAAGCTGAGGAAGGAACGGCAAAGGTATCAACTTTCTCAACTCTCCCCTCTGTTACCAAAAGCATAACCTTGACTTGATATCTTAATGGTCTTTGCTTTGTCAATATAAAATGTAAAATCACTATTATATTTATTATTCATACCAGGGCGCTTGCCCGTTGAAAAAATTAACAGACGAGTATCGTTACAGCTTAGGCCTTATATATTGTGTTTGTTTTTTTGGTAATTAATGTATCATTAAGGTTTGGCCCAAAGAATACAATCAATAAGAAGATCAATCACAGTTTTTGAGCCCACTTTTAACTTCTGAAAAAGACAATCATCAAATAGTTAGGCCACATTCTAATGTTACAATTGAGGGCCTTCTCTGCTTTCGCTCACTCCAATTGGACGTAGTATGGTACACTGTAGAGGTCTAAAACTACCATTGTAAAATCTTCAGGCCATAAAGGCTGTAGAAGATTTCGGGACTGATAAACCCAACATGCAACCGATAGAGAATACATGTTGGTATTAATTTATATCACAGCAACAAAATAAAGTAGATGATTGATAACTTTATCACAAATATGAGCATGTTTATTGCCTTATAGCTATATGTATATACACACGCACTTCTAAACATTTCGGACCACATTGGGAGCCCACTAGATTCATAATACAAAAGAGTATCCAATCTATCACGTACTTGTACGTGCTTCTCTTGTCCTTATCTGCTGTCACGCTTAATTGATTTCAATCTTTCGGGTCTTCTTTTCCCCATCCTTATCCTTCTTAAATGCAATCCTCCCATCTGTTCCAGCAAGCACACTCTACTTATCTTTCCTTGTCAGATTCGTAACCTCAAACCTAAGCGTCCCCGCAAGAACTGTCTGAATGTAGTTTGCAACTTCAAGACTGAACTTCCTTCCCTTACACGTGAGGTCAACTGGAAGCTGGTCCAGAAAATCGATCTCAAATGTGGGAATAGGGTTCATGAACTCAAAGTAAGGGCTCAAAATCTTATGCCCACGAACTGTGGTCATATTAAACAGAGTCTTCTTCGTGCTGATAGCCACAGGAACAATCCTCTGGGTTAATACTGCTAAAGGAGCACTGAACCTTAAAAGAAATGATTCTCAGCGTAAGTGGTTCCTTCATGAAAAATCACCGAGCCATCACTTTCCTGAAGCAGTTTTTTTAATATTCTCAGCATCTTTCTCTTTTTCTCTTGACAAAGCAACGGTTTTGATCGGCGGTGTTATTTCACTGAACTTGCTGATGCTGTACGTGACACAGCTGACTTTTTTCTTGAGAGCCACTGCAATAACTACAGGACCGGTGACCGTACGGTGATTGCAGAAAAAAAGGACTCCGCTTTGGCCTGTCTTTGGGGGAGGGGATGGGGTGCCCCTTGACGAGGATTCTGACGTCCAGATACCAAACGAGTTTTTCTGGCAATGGGATGTTGAGGTATACCCTTAAGATGGAGAGTATGGTGCCAATAGGGAGCCATAGGAAGGTCAATAGTGCCATAAGGGGGGTTGGCCTCTGAGCAAAACGACCGTCGTCGAAGATAATGAGACTCAAAAGCTTGTCTCTGGGTAGTGGCTCACACGTTCTTGGCACCCTATATCCATCCTGCATATATAAGAGCAATTCAAAATACACAAAATATATAAAATCACAGGAAAATAAATGATCCAGCTACAATACACACACACATAACGGGTAATATCAGGTTTGTTGAATTGAGAATATATCAGAACCGTTGATCCTCACTTCAGGAAACTCTGAGATGGCAAGTGTCGTCGGTGGGCGGTGGGATATAGGTACGTAGTAGTAAAAGGTTTAAACTTTAAACTCTCTTGGTCCTCAAAAAGAAAGTTTCAAACTCCATTGATATATTAAAAAACTGGGTTTTCAAACCCTATTGTGCTGCTTGAGGCTGGTGGGCACCTTGCAGGTTGTGTGTTTGATATATTGTAGTTGTCAAAACTAATTTGATTCTGTGTGCCATGTGAGCTAAGAGAGAAGTTATGGCAATGAAAAGTTAAAGAAAATTTAGGGATCACCATTTCTTTTCTTCTTTTTTTTCTTTTTATATATAATCTGTTAGTAATTGGCCATATACTTTATTTGCAATACAAACATTGTCTGCATGATTTCATATGCCATGAGCTTTATTTCTTTTTTGGTTGGGATGAGCTCAGTGACAAGTAAGGTTTTTTTCCTTGTTTCAGGTCTAAGGAAGATGAGGCAAGAGGCTGCAGCCATCTGCTCTCTCTCTCTCTTCTTTTTTTTTGCTCAGCAAAGAATCAGCATTTTGAGTCCATTAGCTTTATACGTGATTCTATAATTTATGTTTTTATTGTTGAAAGCATTGTACTACCTCCGGTCCTTGATAGTTGATTCATTAGTGGAGATTAAAAAAGTTAGTTAAGTTAATCATTTATAATAAATACGTGTTGTCTTTCCTAAAATATCCTTGTTAATCATGTGTAATAGCTAAAACTACTATTTAATAGAACCTTTAATATGTGCAATTAATGACTATTTTTAAAAAAATAGATAAATATTGAAAACAAAGTGTATTAACGTCTTGTGTTTAGAATCAAATTGAATGTCAAACTAGTTTTTATATTAAATACCGGAGATTCTGGATTCTTGTAAACTCAAGCAACTTTAGCTGTTCAAAGTGATAGCTTGTGGTGGGGAATTTAACCAGTCTAATGAGTGGGCATAATAGACTTGTTGCTTTGGTATATATGAACAAGTCTTTGTTAAATGTGAGATCTTTATGAATCATTTGTTAATTGCTGTTGTATGATAATATTATTAATGATTTTATCATCTATTATCTTGACTTTTAATGAGAAAATAAAAAACGACTTTTTATAAAAAGAAAGTATCAAAATTCGTTTTCATAATTGGGAAAAATTAGTCATTTTAATAATATTGTGTATATTACTCATTCGGCCCTTAATGTAGAATCTAATTGAGGAGATTATATTAGTCCTATGTACAAAATTTATTTATCAATGTTTTTTCATATTAACGTTATTGATATGCTTCCAATAATAATCAAGTAGCAGAAGGATGGAAGAAATTAAAGAAGATATATAGGGTGTTTTAGAAAAAAATGTATTATATTAACTAATTTAATTAACGTCCTTAATCTGATCAAATCAGTTAATTAGGCTTTATATTAAGGATAAGAGGAGTACCTATTAATTATCATGTATTATAATGATACTTATTCAATTTTCATAGTTGGCAAAAAATTATTTTGATAATTATAAAATTGTAATTTTATATATTAAATGTCATTTATAATCATATTTTATTAAACATGTCACAAAATAAGAACTAATTAAAAAGGGTAAATTTGTCTATATAAAAATATTTTTCTTCCCCTTCCGTTCTTAACCAAACAAAATAACATTATAATTCCTTCCCTCCTCTTCTTTTCATTAAAACCCCATCACTTTCTCTCCTCTTCTCTTCATTACAATCCCTTCCCTCAGCTTCCTCCTATTGAACCAAACACTGCCTTATTCATGATAGTCAATGAAAAATCACAGCTAAACTTACAAGAATGTGCATAACTACAAAATAGATTTTATATTTATGATACAGATCACTCTAAATATGTAAGACAAAAGAAACACAGAGAAGAAGATGAAGATCAACTTGAAGAGAAAAGAAGGGAAGTCACAAGGGAATCTGAGGGGGAAGGGACGACATAATTCCTTCCTACCTCCAAGCCAACTTCTTCCTCCATTTATATACCCTAATGGCTTGTTCAATATCAGTGCACCCCTCCCAAGCCCAATTGTCACATCTCTTGGGCCTGTTAATCTCTGGTTCACGATCCCAGTGCATAATATAATTGAGTCCATTCATTACAGTGTTCAGTTGCGTGGCACCGGCAGAATCTCTGAGAGAAATTGCAGCCATATAGTTTGAGAATGTTGGTTCTTTAATATCTTACTGTGAAAAATTGCAGCCATAGTATGAGAATGTTGGTTCTTTATTATCTTACTGCTTGAAATTGCAGCTATAGTATGGGAATCTCTGAGGAAAATTGCAGCTTTAGTATGAGAATGTTGGTTTTTTATTATCAAACCTTTGCATGTTACCTCGGATCAGGTTCTTTATTATCTTACTGTGCCACCATGAATCTATGATGAATTGCCATTGCCATTAAAAGCGAGTGAGCAGAAACGGTATAGGAGAAATGTGTTTAAGAGGATCAGTGGATGACCTTAGGAGTTCCCCTGGTGGTGCTGCTGAACCGCCAGTCCAGTCGTTTTGGATTGTGACCCTGTTGTTTCCTGAGGATTCCTGCCAAAAAAAAAAAAAGGGGGGGGGGGGGGAAACCATCAACACGAGTGAAAAATCTAATCAACAAAATAAGTATTAACATAGTGTATGTGGTCACCTACAGCTGGGAAAGACAAACGAGATTCCTCTTGATTATTTTGCTCACTGTCCCAATCTAATACACCTCCCTCTGAAACTTGTCCTTTAACTGATGAGGAATGATGCGTCTGTGTGAAAGTGGCAATAGTTGTTCAGTCATTAGATAGGAGACTAGAGAAGTATATGAGTACTCTGAATATTTATATTCCATTTTGGTCACTTTACAGCTTGAGAAGACTCCACTTGATTATTCTGCTGATTGTTCGTGGATAGCAGGTTTTGCCCTGAAACTTGTCCCATCCCTGGGGAATCTTGGCTCTGCCAAAAACAAAATCCACAAAGACAAAAGGCATGTTAGTTGAAGTAGTAACAGGTAATAGCTTGAATATTTTGCTGCAAAACTCAATTGAGACCTCATCATTGATGTCTTCATCGCCAGTTTCTACTACAGCTGCATTTGGGCTGGTGGAAACCAATCTGTAATGCGGATTGTGAGTAGTGGCGAAGAATAATGATGTGGGAGCAGAAAACTAATGCAATGGGTAAGAAGTTCCAGTTGATTTTGAAAAGTTGTGCGGCAAACAAAGACATGCAGGAAAAAAGTGGAGAAGCCAGTTTCGAATCCGAGCTCAAACTTCCTTGACATGGACAGCAACATCAAGGCAAATGAACCATACGAGATAATGCTCAGTGCCTCTGATTTTGCAGTCACAAGTTCATCATGCAGGACCGAGATCAAACAGATCATATCAAAAATTAGGGCTGCCACAAGACATTGGACTTTATTTGAAGCTCGAATTCTCTTGGCCCGCCAGATGAGGCACCACATAATTAAACCCACCAATAGATAAGCAAGGAGTCGCCAAAACCCCACTTTCCAAATGATCTTTCGTAGGTGGAGCTGAGACCAAAGCAAACCAGGCCATTTATGACTGACACACTTCTCACATATCTCCAAATCCTGGACTGATGATACACAAGATCTCTCATTCTCTGTTCTTTCCCAGCTATCCGAAACAACCTAAAGTTATTAGAAGAAAACAAAAGAAAATTAGTCCAACACTCCACTTATATCTTAATGTTAAATCAGGTTTTCCATAATTTATTTTTGAAAAAAAAAAAGAAACATAGAAAGAAAGGGAAGAGCTCAGATGAGGCGTCAGAAAAGCTTAACAGAGACTCAAAAATCGAGAAAAGATCAAAAGTGTTTAATTCTTGAGGAATTCCAAAAGCAGAGTATAGCAGAGATTGCACTAACAAGATTTCCGCAGCAGGCCAAACAAAAATAAATCATCGAAGAGAGCTACTAACCTTAATCAACGCCCCCCCAACACCTCAAGAGAATCGTATCTCGGAATGTGGGTCTCAGAATTGACGCGGAGAGAAACTGAGAAAGGAGTCGTAAGGGCGTGAACTTGTTGACTCTGATAGCAAAAGGCCGAAAGCACAACCTTGACTTCGTCAATATAATAATCTCTAAAATCACTATTATATTCATTATTCTGGCCCAGAGCATACGAGCAAAGAGAAAATCAGTCAAAGTTTTCGCGACCGCTTGTAACTTCTTAAAAAAACTAATAATTAAAGGCCTTCCCTGTCGTTGCTCACTCCAACTGGACATAATACCCTGTAGAAGATTTCGGGACTGATAAATCCAACATGAAACCAATAGAGAATATACAATTGGTATTAATTCATATCTCAACAACAAAATTAAAGCATAATCATGTAGATTATTATTAATTATTTTATCACAAATATGCCTTGTTGCTACATGTATATCCACACATAGTTATAAACATTTAGAAGCACATTGGGAACCCACTAAATTCATAATACAAAAGAATATATCCAATCCACCACGTAGTTGTACGTACTTCTCTTGTCCCCATCTGCTATCACACTTAATTAATTTCAAGCTTTCCGGTCTTCTTCTCCCCATTCTTCTCCTTCTTTAATGCAATCCTCCCATCTGTTCCAGCTAGCATGCTGTACTTATCTTTCCTCGTCAGATTCGTACACTCAAACCTAAGCGTCCCCGCAAGAACTGTCTGAATGTAATTCGCAACTTCAAAACTGGACTTGCCTCCCTTACATGTGAGCTCAACTGGAAGCTGGTCCAGAAAAGTGATCTCAAATGTAGGAATAGGGTTCATGAACACAAAGTAAGGGTCCAAAATCTTATGCCCACGAACTGTGGTCCCATTAAACACAGTCTGCTTCGTGTTAATAGCCACAGGAACAATCCTCTCGGTTAATTCAGCAAAAAGAGCACTGAACCTTAATAGAAATGGTTCCCTGCAAGTGGTGCCTTCAGGAAAAATCACCAAGTCACCTTCCTGAACCAGTTTTTTAATATTCTCTGCATCTTTCTCTCTTTCTCTTGACAAAGCAACGGTTTTGATTGGCGATGTTATTTCACTGAACTTGCTTATGCTGTAGGTGACACAGCTGACTTTTCTCTTGAGAGCAACTGCAATAACTACAGGATCCACGACGGTACGGTGGTTGCAGACAAAAAGGACACCGCTTTGGCCGGTCTTTGGGGGAGGGGGTGGGGTGCCCTTGACAAGGATTCTGACGCCCAGAAGCTTGGAGTTGTACCAAACGAGTCTTTCTGGTAGTGGGATGTTAAGGTATACCCTTAAGATGGCAAGTATGGTGCCAATAGGGAGCCATAGGAAAGTGACAAGTGCCATAAAGGGGGTTGGCCTCTGAGCAAAACGACCGTCGTGGAAGATAATGGGACTTAAAAGCTTGTCTCTGGGTAGTGGCTCACATTTTGTTCTTGGCACTCTATATCCTTCCTGCATATATAAGAGCAAATTCAAAATACTCACTACATATATAATTGATCCGGGGAGAATACATATACTTGCAACGGGTTATATCAGGTTTCATGAAGGGACAATACATCAGAACCGTTGATTGAAACCTCAGGAAACTTTGAGATGGCAAGTGTCGGTGGAGTATATAGGTACGCAGTAGTAAAAGGCATAAACTCTCTCGGTCCTCAAAAAAGTTTTAAACACTATTGATATATAGTATATAAAAAAAATTTGGGGTTTCAACTAATTCGGGTTGGATTGTGAGTGTTAATGTCTAGTTTAATTAATACATACAACATAAAATTAATTGTGAAAATAAAAACAATTTTTTTTGAATATCTTACTTTTAATAAATGAAAATTCAAAGTAATTTTTTTTCCTTCATGTTTTTAGGCTAACAATCAAAGTATATAGACTAGTCATTAGTGGCTACGAGAGCGCTATAATATTAGGTTAGACATCAAGAATTAATGGCAAGTAGTGCCATGCATTATTGTTGAGAAAAATCAAATTTGTGTTGTCGTTGTCTTTTATCGGTCAGCCGCTGTTTGCCGCTGTGGAATCATATTCTTCAGAACATGGAGGGGCCATTAGAATGTATGGGTGTATTAAATACCCAATCGAGAAGAACCGACAGAAGAAACATTTAAAGAATATTGCGAAAAGATATAATATTTGGTGTACGTGTATAAGGACTTAGCTCTCTCTCATGTAGAGAGGGGAAAAAGGTAGAGGCTATAGATAATGTTAAAAGTCCTATGTCAAGGAAAGTCTTGTAAAAGAGATAAATTTTGGATATGTTTTTCTTTTTAATTTGTGCTGATAATATTGATGCTTCTATTGAGAAGTTAATGTCACAGGGAGAACTACCCATAAAAAGTTGTAGTACGCAAATGGCAGTGGAGTACAAAATATAAATCAACATTAAATAGGGCAATAAGAGAAAAAACGAAACAAATATCTTACATAATATTTTTATAAATATTCATAGAAAAAGATTAAAAAAATCTCTTCTTTATCAAAACAACTGTGGGAGAACAATATTGTCATAACAGGTGAAGAGGTTTATTAGTTAAAGTCATGTCAGGTTTTGAACCAACTTCAAAAGCCATGGTTAACAAAAGGGTATACATAGAAGATTACAAACCTTGCAAATTGACATGAAGTGACAATCAGATTCACTGTCCCCCAGTCCCAAATCTGGCAATTCTTGTCCAAATTCCTTGACAACGGCTTCTTTCTTGTGGTCACCAACCAGCACTCCTGGTTCCTTAACAAACCCTGTCAGTGTCTTCCCATATTTCGTGACTTTCAGCTCTGTACCTATGACCTTATCTGCCTCTAGAAAGGTCTTCGCGAATGGCTCCACCATCAACCTCGGACTGGCCGTCACGACGTACCTCTTCCCGAGAGAACTGAACACCCGCCAAGTCTCCGGGTGGATGTCACCGGCGTAGAACTTGGGCAACACCGACCTCGACACGAGCTCCACGTCTCTGGTCTTGAGTCCGGCGAAGGTGATGAAGATGAGAGTTTTGATTGCCACAGTTTCAGAGACGAACAGGCAGGTTAAATACACAAAGGGGACTGAAACGAGAAGTAGGAGTCCTCGGAGGAAGCTTCCGGCTTCGACAGCGACGAGCATGTAGTAAGGGAAAGCGCTTCGCGACACGAGAAGGGTGCCGTCTAAGTCGGAAACGACGGTTTGGTTTTGCCGTTCATCAGTGCTGCACTTTGAGATGGGTTGGAAACGACGAAAAGCTTCCTTGGCAACCATGGCTGCAGAGAGAGGGAAGGAGAAGACAAAATAAGTAGAGGCTATGGAGGTTGCTGGCCTGGTGGAGACTGTAATGACGAGAGAGACTGGGGGAGGAGGAGGGTTGGAAGAGATTTAAAAGGAGAAGGAAGAGATGGTGACGTTGTTCAATGAATTGTTTAATGTTTGTTTCGCATGCATAGCAAATCAAATAAGTATAATAAAAATCATAGTAATATATATTCTGTGGTCGGAAAGATAACCTTACAATATGTCGTTGAAAACCTAGTTGCCATTTGCTGCGTGGGAATTGATTGCTTGGCCTAAAAACAAAAATACATACGAATTGATGGAAAATGTGGTGGCATAAAAAAAAAAAATACAATTACTTATAGTTTTTCTCAATTTTTAATTTGGTACCTGTATTTTTTTTTTTAATTAAACGCTATAACTTTGCTCCGTGAGCACACTTAGCTTTTGCATAAGAGCTATCGGTATCAATAGAGCAAAGTTAAAGAAACTACCAATACTAACAGAGTGCAATTAGAGTATTTAATTAAGAAGGAAAAAAAAAAGATATGCACCAAATTAAAAGTTAAGGAGGCACCTGCAAATAGTTTTTCCAAAAAAAAAAAAATAAAGATAGAGAATGCAGATTATACTAATGCATTAATTATGAATTTCCTATATATTCATCTTGCTGTATTTATAAGTTACTTTCAACATATTTCACAGAGATCAAGAAAAATCTTAAACTTCATTAACTCTCACTTAAAATTCAATAACTTTTTAACTTTATCTCTATTTAATATATATTATACCTCATGTGAACAAAATCAACATAATAAGAAATAAAGGGCAAAATTGTATATCAATATAAAAAAAAATTTCTTAATGTTCTATAAATAGAACTAAAAAAATCTTTTCTCTTCGGTCCTATATATCTCTGTCATATAGGACTAGAGGAGTATGTTTTGTTGTGACAAGAGTACATTTTGTTATATGAGATTAAAATATATACTACTCTAGTCTTTAATATAAAATTTTGTTTGACTTTTATTTTAGTCTTAAATATAAAATCTCAGCCTATTTTATCTCTCATATTTATTCATTTTTTTCCAAGATACTCCTTCTAATAATAGTAATTCTAACCAATAAACTTGATTAGCAAGAATATTTTAGAAGAGACAATACCTATTTATTACAAATAATTAACTTAACTTGTTTTCTTAATTTACTGAAATTTGTCAACTAGCTCTTATATTTAGGACCGGAAGTAGTAATTAGAATACAATATATATTATTTAAATCCGTTAAACCAGCAGCTTTTAGTGATACATAAATGTTCAAGATTTCCTAGAGGCTGCTGGCGCCCACTATATCCTCTCCACATTTTCTATATATATCACATACATCCGACAAGAACATTTTCTATATATATCACATACATCCAACACGAACATTGTACTTCATTAGTAACTAAATTTTTATATAAATTTTTACTTAAAAGGTATCACTTGATAGCTCCCTATGTTTAATAGTCCGTTCCAAACACGCAAAAGAAGGCGCATGAAAGAGAAGGGTTGTATTAGGCTCCCCCCACCCTTTTTTTTTGTCAACAGTATTAGGCTTTGCGTGGCCAACATCAAATTTGTTGAATTTTTATCACAATGTATCATGTATATTAAAAAAGTTATTTTTTTAAAAATTTGATGAAAAATTGACGTTTTTCTGGCCAACAAGGTGAAAAGTTGACTTTTTTTGTCGACAACTAATTAAAAGCCATAATTTTTCATTTATAATTATGCAGCTCACATTAACCAATACTATATAGGAGTAAAAATGAGAAGATATTTCTTAAAATTATAAAAGATCCAATAATAAATTCCAGAGAAATGTGATATTCCGGGAGGGAGAAGGGAAGTTCCGAAGTTCTCACTTCCCATCTTTGACGACTAAAAGCCATCGGAATTAAAAAGAAATTAAAATATTTTAGTCATTCAATAATTCGGCTCAATTTCGAATACATTAAAAGATCTCTTCAATAAATTAAGGTTGACGACTAGGCAAGGGAAAGTTTGGTATTCTTCTATTTTGAAATAACTGTCTTTTAGTATAAAAGAATTAAGGATGCGATGTTTTTCGCCCCGGATGTTACTGGAAAAAAATTTAATTGTATTTGACTAAAATGTGTTTATTTATCAATTTATTATTATATCATATTTTTGACCTTATAAAACTAAAATGTAATAAGGAAATTAGTGCTCGACCAAATTCTTCAATTAAAAATTATTTAAAATGAAAGCCAACCGAAAAATTGACAATACATGCATGCAAGGCTGGACATTTGAAGAAATACCCTCTGCTACAAATAAGTGGCAGTACACAAACACACACACACACACACACACAATACTCCTTCTAGTCTTTGTCATGAGTTTTAAAAAACTAATTCACAAATAATAAATAATTAGTTAAAATTAATTAAAATTAAAAATAATATGTCATTATAATAAATGAAAAGAAAAGGACTAAAGATGATGTATGAAAAAAATAATAAAAGAAAAATAATTAAAAATAACATTAAAAAATATTAAATGTTAAGAAAAAACTCAAATTAAAACTTACAAAATGGAAGACATCTCTTCTTAAATCTGAAAGTCATAAATAGCACAGAAGTATTAAAAAATATTGCACAATTTCCAAGTATAAATGAAGAATTGAAATTGAATTAAATTGATGCAGTTGGGGGATAGTGGCATTGATTAGAGATCTGAGTTAAACGGCATGTAATTAATGCAAGAGATGTACAGTAAATGGAAGGAACTGAAATTGTTGTGACCAAAAAATAATAAAAGAATCAAAGAAGAGTGACTCATAAGGGATCCGGCGTAGATCATTGGCGTTGGCAGGGTTAATAAATGGAAAGAACTGAAATTGTTGTGGCGCAAAAAAACCAAAAAAAAAACTCCTCTAGTCTTATTTCTAAGGTAAAAAAAAATCATTTTTGATCCTATTTATAGGGTATTAAGAGAAATTTTTTATATAGATGCATAATTTTACTCTTCATTTATCATTGTGTTGACTTTGTTTATATAAGATATAATATATATTAAATAGGGATAAAGTTGAAAAGTTATTGAATTTTAAATAAAAGTTAATGAAATTTAAAGTTTTTCTTAATTTGTGTGAAACATGTTAGAAGTAACTTATAAATATAATCAAAAAATTAAAACAACTTAAGAAATGATCTTAAATATATTAAAACAACTTAAGAAATGATCTTATATGCATAATCATATAACATTTGACCCAAAAAAAAAAATCATAGTGGCATATATCTACTGACTCGGGTTGATGTGAGCGGCCAGGAATCTCGTTCTTTAACGTGCGGTTTCATTCTCAACTTAAAAGAAAATTAATTAGATTCTTCAGCAAAGAATATTGCTACTCTTAAAAAAAATAGAATAAAACTTATATATCGAGTATGTGAATTTTAAGAGGAAAAATATGATGAAGTGTTATTAATCTTGATATCTTATGACAGAAAATGAATCAAAGAAGGAAGAGGCTGTGAAAAGGAGAGAGGGAAGTAATTTTGGGACGAGTGAAAGAGCTGTCCTTAACTTCATGACGGGGGCAGTTGTAGGGAGGCGTCCGAGTAGTTGGAGGTCATATATCTCACAGCACACTTGCCCTTGTTCAATTTGCTTATTTGTTATCGTCAAGGGGCCGGGGCCAAGCCCCCTATAATTGCTTACATTAAAAAAGCTACGGTTTTTGTTATTATTATTACTAATACTATTATTACAACCACACTACAGGACAATTTGATTCAACGCTCCTACCCAACTCAATGAACAATCCACATAGTAATTCATTTAAGGCTCCCACGCTCTTCCTCACCTTTCTTGTGTTTTACTCCCTCTTATCTTTATTATAACCCTCTAACTAATTCACATCTGTCAATAAAAATAATTTAAAATATTAAATTTGTCCTAAACTTCAAATAATTTTTAATATTATCCTTACCGTTAACTATACTAATTCCAACATTGTTATATCAGTTCTCACTCTCTTAGAACCCTTATTAAATATCGGCATATAATGAAAAAATATATATTTAATGCTCATTTCATATATTGTACTCCCTCTGGTTCATAACATAAAAGGTTGGTTAAGTTTTCTCACGTATCAAGAAATAAAAATTTAGTTATTAAGTGTATCGTAAAATGACAAAGTCTTTCTATTTTATCCCCTCCAAAATGATAAAATTGCCTTCAATATTATGTTTTTATTATCTCTCAATTTTCTCCCCTCTCTCTCTTATACTACCTCCGGTCTTAATTATAAGAGCTAGTAGACTAATTTGAAAAGATTAAGGAAAAAAGTTAAGTTAGTTATTTGTAATAAATATATGTTGTCTTTATTAAAATACCCTTGCTAATCAAGTGTATTAGCTAGAACTACTATTATTAAAAGGAGTATATTGGAAAAAATGCATAAATATAAGAGATAAAGTAGATTGAGGTCTTATATTTAACACCAAAATAAAAGTCAAACAAAGTCTTATATTAAGGATAGGAGGTAGTATTTAATAAGAGTGAAAATGAAAAAATTATATTAATTATCTTGACAACATTTTATATTTTAGATCACAATTTTTTTTAATTAATGTCTTATATTATGCACTGGATGTAGTATTATGAGCATAATAAGTAATATTATTTTGGAAAAATCACAAAAAAAAGACAGCCGAAATAGAAAAATTACAAATAGGGATCCATTACAACATTAGTATGGGTTTTGATAACAATTTTTGTGAATGGGTCCTTGTATGCAATTTTTTAATTTTGACAGTCTTTTTTGCGATTTTTCCTATTATTTTTGTATGTACTCCCTCCGGTCCTAATGCTATAGGAAACAAATAATGAACGATGATTAAAAAAATGGTTGAAAATATATGTTGTTTATAAATATGTCACAAAGTACTCCCTCAACCTCTTTGGATAAGAAATAACTATCATTTCTATCTTATTCCTT